CCCCGCCGTGCCCACCCCCCCAGTTTCCCCTGTGGGACTGAGATATTTGAGAGTTCATCAGCAGATACTTTGCACATCCTTTGTGCCATCCTCGACTGCGTGGGGCACAGGGGGGACCAGCAGCGAGCAGTTCGCTGCAGGCGTCACCCCAAGGCTCCTGCATAATTTGGGGCAGCTGGGACAAGGAGGAAGGGGTGCATCTTTTTGGGCACAAATGAGGAGCTTTGTTCCCCGCCGCCCACATCCCCAGCATCTCCCGGTGCAGCAGCCATGTAGGGTGGGAGGCAGAGCGTGTTGCCGGCGTCGGGTTGGGATCCTGAGCGCCTGGGTTTCCCTCCTGCTTGTGCCACCGCCTGCCTGCGTGGCCTTGGGCGAGTCACCTCGCCTCCTACCCGTCACTGTCACCAGAGCAGGCGCATGTCCCCTCCCATCCCCTCGTCGGTAACGAGGTCCTTTTTATTCCTTAGGGCCGAGAATTACTGGTGGCGGGGTCAGAATAAGCGGACCCTAAAAGTGGGCCAGTTCCCCCGAAACACGGTGACCTCGGTGGCAGGGCTGTCTGCCCACGACATCAGCCAGCCGCTTAAAAACAGCTTCATCCACACAGGCCATGGAGACACCAACCCGCAGCACTGCTGGGGGTTTCCCGATAAAATTGATGAGTAAGAAACTTTCTGACTTCTCTGCATCCCCTGCCTGCTCCCTGCCTTCCCCGCTGCCCGCCGGGCACGTTTTTGGGGCTTGGCTGCCCCCTCCCCTGAAGCATCTTTTCCCCCCCTGCTGTACTGGGGATGGTGGCTCCGGGTAGGGTCCCTGCGGCTGGACTAACTCCCTTGCCTCTTCTTACTAATGGGGTCAGGGATGTGGGGGGGCTGCTGTGCTTGTGGGGGGCTTGTCTTTGCGGGGAGCACCTTCTCCCAGCCCTGCAGCCCATCGTGGCTGTTCCGGGGTGGGGGGGATATCAGTAAGCACCACCCCAGAGGTGGCCACATTACCGCAATGCTTTTGGGGTGTCCCAGGGCTGCTAAACCACTACTCTTCAGCGCCTGCGAGGAGGGGAGCCATGGTGGGGGTGCATGAATCCTCTTAAAAAGCAAAATCTGAAAAAAATCCATCAAAATGCTCTTTTTTTCCCCCCCATGCTCCATCAAGAGAGACCTGGCTTGGTTTGTGATGGGGAGTGGGGGTTGGGTGCCAGCACCCCAGCCTGCTCTCTGCCCCCCTGCCAGGTGGGACTGGCTGTGCCCAGCGTGGGTGCTGGGGGGGGCGGTGGGCAGAGGCACCTTGGCTCAGGGCAGGGGACATGAGTGGTCTCTGCCAGCGCTGGGATGGGGGGACGTGGGAGGGCTGTGTGTAGGGGGCATGGATAGGATTTCAAAGCCTGGAAAGCTCCTGCTGGGTAGAACCAGCTCCTGCGCCGGGCTCGGTGCATCCCCTGGGACAGTGATCCCCACTGCTGTTGGGCATCCCGGCCCCGGGACAGTTCTGCCGGTGCTTTCAGTCCCAGTCTGATCCCCCCACGGTGCCCCATGCCGCAGGCTGTGCTGGTGGCCCTCGAAGGGCTGAACCGAGGCGCCGCGCACGCGGACCTGGCTCGTGCCCCGGCAGGCCTCCCCGCGCCCCGCTGCGTGGG